GCTAAGACGCTTGCCAAACCGCAAGGACCTCAGGTATGGGTTTGTCCGCTGCCTGACTGCCGGCATGAAATCAGAATTCCTGCAGGTTTGCAAGCGAGAGCCAAGCTTCAAGCTGCAAAAAGTTCACACCTGAAAAATAGACATACAGATTCCGAAAGAGCTGAATGCCCGCGACTCGGTGCTCAAACTCAGATCACAGTCCCGACCTCGGAACTTCCTGAAAGTGGCAGAGCCTGGAGTTGCCCAGAATGCGGGAAAGGACTCCCACTGTTGCCAAAAGTTTGGCACGAAGCTAGTGTCCGCAAACATTTTGCCGAGGCACACCCTGACACAAATCCAACTCAGGCGTACAGGAAGAAACAAAGAACTGACAAAGGCCTTCGAGCTCGTATGAAACTGCGAGGCAGACATATAGGTCAGCTCAAACAACAGAAGGTCGCTGACAACCTGAAAGTTTGGGCTCCGCAAACGGGGCATGATGTTCGCCAAATTCTTCTCAAACATAACCCCAAAGAAGAGAGACGCAAACTTGATTTGACGTCCGTGCTTGTTTGTGCCAAATGCAGACGAAAAGGGACACCATGTAGATTCAAAACCACCGCATGCACTGATGAAACTCAACCTATCCCGACTCAATTGCTGGGTTGGATCCGAAACATGGCTTTGCGACACCCTGCGAACCAAGGTGCCATCAGAAACGGACTTGGTATGACTGAAGCCGAGGTTGCAAATGCAAACTTCCAAACCAAAAAAAGAGTCAACGGTAAAGGGCCAGCCAAGTGGCTTAGCGGTCCGTTTGCCACCACTTTTCAGGCGGCGCAAGCTGCAGGGCACTTAGTTACTGAGGTCCTTCCGCCGGATGCCATGCGCCACCCGGACTCCACTGCTAAAAAGTTTCCCAAGGGATACCTGACCTGTAAAATTTGCCACAAGGTTAATCCACTTGGTGCTGTCAAAATCTGGACGAATCCATGCCTGGGACATGATCCCACCTCCAAAGGTTTCCAGTCTCAGAAAAGATATTGGCAGTCTTTAACTAAAACCCAAAAAAAAGCCCTCAGTCAAGCATGGGGGAAGACTCTGCAGCAGGGGGAGGAGCTTTTTGCCTCCCAATCCTCCAACAAGCGCAGCCGTAGAGCCAAAGAACATGACCATAATGATAAGGTTGCTGTGAGAATTGGTGAAGCGTCCCATCCAGGACCAAGATCACGAAAATTGCGCAACTTGGATCAACATGTGTCAGTTTGGACATGCAACACTCAAGGACCCAAACAATCGTGGACCTTACAACAGCTGCTCCAAACCCAGGAGCAGGCACCTCAGATTGTGCTGCTTCAGGAATGCTCTTTTAGCCAGGCTGAATGGACCACATTTCAAAAAACTTGTTGGTCTGTGGGGTACAGAAGTTTTTTCTCCGGTGCGCAAAGCACCGTCAATCGACACTACGGAGGAGCTGCAGTCTTGGTTAAATCTTCACTACCTTGTAGACCGGCCTGGTCACACACTCACAAAGGAGGTAGTGCCCAAGCTGTGTGGGTGGGATCAACTCTGGTCATCTCCACTTACCTGGCTCCTAACAGTGATGCAGAAACCGTGAGTGCAGCTGTGGCTCAAACTGTCCACTCTCTCGCTCCAAGACATCGTTTTATTTTGGGGGGGATTACAATGCCACACCCGAAGAGAATCCCTTTCTTCATTTCTTGATTCCTAGGGAATTTCGTATTCATGCCACTCAAACCCCAACGCGGTGGCAAGGAAACCGCGATATTGACTACTATATCAGTAACCTTGAGCCCACTGAGGTCGAAACGCTTCCTGATGTTGTAGCCGACCACAAAATTGTCAAAACTTTTTTCGATTTATCTACCGAACCTGTTTTAGGTTTCCAACAAGCCAACATTCCTAGAATCCTCCCGAAGGACCCGGAAGTTGCTGAACGAATCCAAATCAAATTGGCTCAGCTCTGGCCGCAGTTTTCCACACAACTTCCAGAGCGATGGTCAGTCAATGTTGACCAGGACTGGCAGATGCTTTCGCAAACTTTTTTTCAAGCCCTAGTTTGTGCAGTCAGGGCTGCTGCCCCTGACATGCTGCAGCGAGTGTCTCCGGCCTTACTGAGGAAAGGAAAGGCCACTGAGGTCTCTCTTAAACAGAAAGAACACATGAAACGACATCCTGCTGGAGCTATGGCTACTCACCGCCAAAGAGTTCTGCGCAGATTGATTGGAAGGTTGCGGGAAGCCCAGCGAAACTTGGATCAAGACAGGCAAAATATCACTGAAAGCCGAGTTCTCTGGAATAAAATCAGACGGTGTTCTATGTACAACCATGATTGGGGTATACAAAGAAACCTTCGGCATCTTGAAACGCTTTTGGAACGGTTCAATCATGAAGATGACTACACCAGACTTCAACGATGGAGAAACAACATGGAACATGACAAGGCTGCATACAGGTGGCTGCGACATAGATCTGTTCCCATGTGCAATGCGGTTAAGAAAACCAAAGACTCTGTTCCTAGTCACTCCACCCAAGACAGCCTGAGGATTCTCAGGGAATTTTGGGCCGATATTTGGAATAGACGTCAAATCTCTTGGGATGATATTTGGGATGATTTGGTTACTCACACTCCACCACGCCCTGCTCCTGACAGCTGGCCAAGCCTCACACCGGAACAACTCCGTTCTGCCACCAAGTGTAGCCGCGGCAGTGCGCCGGGGCTTGACGGCTGGAGAGCTGAGGAACTTAGTTTGTTCAGTGACGAAATGTGGCAGGTCATGTCCGGGTTCTATGATCATTGTGAAGAGCTCGGAAACATTCCTACCATATGGCGATGTGTTCGCCAAGTGCATATCCCGAAAGGGAAACCACCTGAAGCTGACGGCAGCATGCTGGCGGACAACATGCGTCCCATAGCTGTGATGTCGATAATCTGGCGAATCTGCAGCCGAGCCAGATTCAAACAAACTGAGGTTCAGGAATGGATCCACACATCCACCCCCGAATTCATGTTTGGGGGAATTCCCCAAAAAGGTGTTGAGGATGCTATCTCTCACATAATCCTCAAAGACATGCATAGCTGGCCGGTTGGTACACTTGACCTGACAAAAGCTTTCGATTATTCTGACCCTGAGATAATCTGCAAACTCTTTGTCCACCAAGGTATGCCGCGCAAAGCTGCACGCATGTTGTTAAGCATGTGGAGCGAACAAATCCGTTTTCTTCAGCTCCATGACGAATTTTTCCCAAACAACCATGTTGTCAAGCGCTCCCTGCCGCAAGGTGACTGCTTTAGCATGTTAGGCATGTGTGTTTTGCTTACTCCCATTGCCAATCACATTCAGAGAAAATACCCTTGTTGCGTTCAAGCTTTATATGCCGATGATCGTTCTTTCACTTGTTCCACTGCGACTGAAATATGGCAAGTTCGAAATGAATGGCATGTTTGGAGCAATAAGGTTGGTCTTCAAGAAAACCCCACCAAAGAGCAATATTACCACCGCAACGTTCAAGGTTGCCGATCTCTCGAGGATGCCGGCTGTCCTCCAGAAACAGTTTCCACTTCCATCACCTTGTTGGGATTCCAGTTCATGGGAGTGACCCAAAGAAAAGCCAAAGACCGAGAACTGACAAGACTCACTGAGGCCAAAGAAGTTCTTCGAAAATGTAGGTGCCTCCCAGGTTCCAAAACACGTAAAGCTGCAGTTGCCAGGGTTTGTGCCCCAGCAAAAGCAAGTTGGGGATGGCTGTTTCGAAGACCCATTCATGCTGAAAGCAACGCTTTCTTTCAGGGAGCAAAAGCGCTGCATCAGTGGCCAAAGCAGTCAGCCGTACCTTTACTCCAGATTTTTACTGGCCATTGGTGGGACCTAGGTTTTGCTGCCACGGTTACGACTCTCCGAGTCCTCACCCGCTATGTTCACAAAACACAGATACAGTTGCAAAACTGGCCACCCAAAATGAGTGGCTGGACGGGTAGCTTTAGAAAAGGCATGCAAGAACTTGGGTTCGCTGAGGCTGGTAGTTGGACCTGGACGCACCCGATGCTTGAAACTATTCAGATTCAACCAACCACGCTGCCTGAAAAGGCGACCGAAGTGCTGTCACATAGGCTCAGAGATGCTTGGCGAATCAGAAATATGAGGAATTCTTGGAACTTGACCGACGCGACTCAACGGTTTGTGCAGACATTCCATGTGACCTGACCCGCATTAATATTCTGCGCAAGAAAAAACTCAACAGTCACGAACTGGCTGTTGTAACTGGTGCTTTCATTTCACCTCAATGTCGAAATGCCATGGGAGGTGCTGAAGAAACATGCCCTTATTGCCAACATGTTTGTGCCACTGTGCAGCACATGCTTTGGGAATGTACTCAGAACCCACACCGTGATCCTACTATTAGACCCCACGATGTGCTGCAGGAAAGACTCGCATGGCCCACTACTGATCCTACTAAGGTGGACCATGACAACAAACTTCTAAGGTTTGCAGCTGCAACACGTGCTGATGTGTTGCAGCAGCGCCACGACGACTAGAACCACCTCCATTCTATTCTGGCGATCGCCTCTGGCCTGCGCTGCGGCTGCGGGCAAGTGCGGGCAGCGTCATTGTCTACATCATCATCATCAGCACCCAGGTTGTCACTGGCGTGTTCTGCCAGTCAGCCATAGACAGCGCGCAGAATGACCATGCTGCAATTGTGCAGTCCATCCTCGAAAACAAGGACATCGCTGCACGTTTAATTTGAAACAGTAAATGCAATGTTTTGGTGCCAGCTGCGAAGGTTTCAAACAAGGGTGCAAGTAACCAAATCAGATGTGAACCCATGATGTTGCCCAGCAACATAATTTGCAAGAATTGAGCCACTGGTGTTTTTGTATGATTTTTCGTTGACACAAAATGTGACAGGAAGCGCGCCTCGCCAAGATCAAGACCCTGTTTTCAAAATTTGGCGGAACAGGGTCTGGGGCGGAAGAAACGGATTTTATTACATTTCCAATGTTCGAAGAGAAGATCAACACCCCAGAAGTGCGCGATTATTTCGAATCTTTGCGATTGGCCACTCGGCTTGACTACATGAAAGGATGTTGAGAGCATGAACGAGAGGTTTATGAATCATGATTTATGATTACAGTGATTGATAAATAACGAAACACTGGAATCTGTATCACAAACCTTGATCTGAACATAGCAATGCAGACAAAAATCTGCATTATGAAACTGGTTTAGATAATTTTGCATTTTTGCACGCAAACGCTTTGACTGGTCTTGGCATGAGGGAAAATCCAAAAATCGTTCTCAAAACAAAACCGTGGATACCGTGGAATGGACCCATGATGGCATGATGCACCATGGCATCTGAGGATATTTGGGACGCATGGACCTTTTTCAAAATGGTGGATGATGATGGTGGTGGAACAATTCCAATGGACGAATTCTTAATGGGTTGCTTGAGACTTCGGGGTCAAGCTCGAGCCGTGGATGTGGCTTGTCAGGGCTTGGGAGATGTGATGAGTTGATCTTTGAATTTTCCTGGTGTCGCAACGGGTGGGCTCACAGATTTCATTTTGGTGTTCAACATTCTTCAACAGTTGAAAAAGGACACCGATGGCCAAACGTTCTGCGGCATGTTCACACAGATGAATTTTCAGAAGAGACAGGAACATTTTTGTTCACTGTCCACCACACGTGCCATGCTCACTGGGTTTGTTGCATGCTGTTTCGAGCTGTACGCGGAAGGCCAGCCCACTTTTGATGGGTCTGACATTGGAATCAAACAAGGGCTGACCTGAAATACCAGCGCAGGCAGTAGGACATTTGAGCAGTTTCAAGCAAACCCAGTTGTTTGATGATTATAGGCGGTCTTATATGCTATCCGTTTCCATTTCGGTCACCACTGGCTCACAACTTGAGGTGGGTCGCATTATACATGACCAGCAGTGGATGATAAAGAGACTTGGCACTTGGAACAGTCATGGTCGCGATGTGGAGCCTACAGATAGCCTGGTACTGGTCACTTTTACCAACCTTTTCCTGGTGAAAAATGGTTCCTTCGCAATCCATGAGGTCCTGAAGCTTTGATCAATCAAGTGTCATGATTAAGTCATGATTCTCCTGGTGGTGACGGAGATCCTGAATGCCGGTGGATCAAGACTTAGCTTTAAAATGGTTTAAATATGTTAAAAGAGAGCAATGCAGTAAACGACTGACTAGAATGTGCACATATACTTGTAGACATCCGTATTACCGTATGCATTTACATGTATTCGAGAAATACATGTATACACAAGTATCATGAATATCTTGAATACATGATTACTTCTTCGGAGGATTCCTCCGGGATATGACAGCTTCGACCGCTGGTGAGGAATTTTGGCAAGTTCCAGACACACGTCGAGGCTGGGCTGGAGCCTCTTGAGGGGACCGGCTATAAACAGCAGTTGGGACTGGTCATGAGATATGTTGCCTGGACTGACCCCCTTGGACTTGCCTGGACCATGCGTTGCGTGCAACTACAAGGTCGTCCTCTTCAATATTTCATTTTGTCATCGTCATCATCATCGTCATTCATCGTCATTCATCGTCATTCATCGTCATCGTCATCCTCATCATCATCGTCGTCGTCGTCGTCCTCCTCCGCCTCCTCCTCCTCCTCATCATCATCATCATCATCGTCGTTGTCATCGTCATCATCATCATCATCATCGTCATCATCGTCATCATCATCATCATCATCGTCATCATCATCATCATCATCGTCATCGTCATTGTCATCGTCATCATCGTCATCATCATTCGTTCCCACCATCATCAACATCAGTTTACTCTTGCAGCTGGGCAGTCTCCGGTACAAAATTAGTAGCGTCCTGCTAGCTTTGGTACTCCCACGGGCCTCAAGTGGTGTATAAATGGTATGCGAATATCAAGGGTCGAAGGAAGTTTAGAAGTCAAACTTCCGACAATATGGACAGATGAAAAGCAGAGATGGGAAGAGTCAGAGAAGAGAAGAGAAGAAGAAGATCAAAAAAGAGAAAGTCTCAGAAGAAAGAAGATCCAGGTGCGCGAAAAGCTATAGGAAAGCCGCGAAACACTATATATATGTTTTTCCAATGTGTCGAAAAGTAGGCTCGCTAAAGCGGCGGGTGTGGAGCCAGCTGGCCAGATGAGAGATGAAAAATTGCACGCCGTTGTGGCGCGAAGCACATTTGCAAGTGAAACAGCTAAAAGCACCTCACGTTCGGAGCACTTTTAGAAGTTGCCATGTCGAAAAAGTGCACGCCGTTGCGGCGCGAAGCACATTTCGAAGTCAAAATGTACAAAGCACACCAGCCTTGGAGCACGTTTGGAAGTTGAGATGTCGAAAAAGTGCACGCTGTGTGGCGCGAAGCACATTTCAAAGTCAAAATGTACAAAAACTGCCGGGTTCGGAGCACTTTTCAGATGTCGTTTTGCGTGGCAGGCGCAAGGGATTGTGCACCTTGTCAAAAGTGCGCAAAACGTGAGGGTTTTGTAGCATTTCCAAAAACGATGGCAGGCGTGGGACATTTGAAGAGGATCTGCAAAGATGCATTTTCCGTGGCAGGCGCAGTACAAGAGACATGTTCATCAGAGCTGTTAGGAGGTCCGGGCGCTGATTTCCTGAGAGGGGTTGCATTTTGGGGCATCAGATCTTCAGGTTTGCTGGGATGATTTTGCGTGACAGGTGCAGCACTTCGTATGCCCCGGTATCACTTTTCGTGGCAGGCGCAGTACTTTAGACAGGTGGAGTGGAAAAATCGCAAAATGTATTGGTACGAGGCCATCAGCTCTGCACTCAACTTTCCATTTTTGAAGGAAGTCTCACAGAATTGTTTCGTTTTTGATTTTGTCAACTTCGAAAATTGAGGAAGTCTCGCAGAAGTGTTTCGTTTTTGACGTTATCAAGCTCAAAAATTGAGGAAGTCTCCCAGAATTGCTGCGTTTTCAAGCTTGGTAAGGTGACCACTGCAACCATTGCAACCATCAAAAAACACAAATTCAACCACATGTCGGTCCATCAGTGGATTCGCTCTGCCATCCGTGATTCACAACAACCAACCTCTCCTATAGGTTTCCTATTTTAACTTCCGCCACCGCCTTGTGCGGTACTACTGGTATATAATTAAATGGCATATGAATGGCCCATTTGTTCTCTAGCGAGGGTTTGACCATCATTTCGATGGGGTTTAACCATGGAACATGGGCTAGAGTTGGTGAATGATGGTTGGTTATGCCATAGTGGCACTCCCCTGTTGCTAAGCCCTGCGTTCAGGTGGAGTTAAGAGAATTGAAAGATGAACTCGCTCGGCCCATGGAGGTGAAAACTGGCTCTGCCGGATTTTAAAGGAGAAAACACCCAATTTGATGGTTAATCGAATTAGTTGTAATTTTCCCATGGTTGAAATAGCCCTCAAGCACCAGATTGGATCTCTTTGATCTGCGGTCTTGATGTTGATTCACTTCTTTTTTGGGAAGCATCAACTGATCAGTATGGTGGTTCAATAGTGATGGATGAGGCGCACGAGTTATGCTGATAGAGGAAATATCACCCTGGGTCTTTCAAGTATTTGTCATCCTACCTGCATGATGAAACCAACTTGACTTTCATACTTTTTGGGAAAACGGATGGGAATGAAGTAAACTGGGGGCAGTGCAATTTTAGGATGAAAGCGTCAGTTTCCGGAGCCGATGATTTTTGAGCCATGTACATGGGGGATTAAACCTGACCGCAGGCTACATGATTCACGTGTTGAGATTGAGATGTCATTTGATATGGTTATATATATATATTTGCATATCAACTCCGCCTTGGCAGCATTTCACCACTGCGCGAAACCAGTGAATTATCGGAATGTATAGAATCTGAAGACGTGCAGCTTGATTCCACCTCGCCGCCGTGCCGGCAGGGGCAGGCATCCTTCCAGACTCCCAGAAGTTCTCGGGGCAGCAACTATTCCCATGCTTCGGAGAGAGGTGCTTCGTCCAATGAATCCGCTTTTCACGAGTCAAAACGCTCAAAGAACTCCAAGGACCGGCTCTTTCCAGTTCGATTTACGCCAACGTTTTGGGAAAGAACAGTTTTTTGTTGAGAACTTGCCCTTTCAGTTCGAACTTTCCTGCAGCAGGCATATTTTGTTCCCCCTTTTGAGAAACATATCAACTTCATTCGACTTCTCAATTCCAGCTATTTTTCCAACGTTTTCCCGTCATTTCTTGGGCTTTCGCTGTGGCACAGGATGGCGCTGCCGGGGTAATCAGCTATTCTCTACCAATGGACGATTGAAAGAATCGCTGTTTCAGATCCCTGGAGATCCTTGGCAGAACGGGACGTCGGGACGTTCTCCGGGACGTTCTCCGGATCCAGCTTCGGTGCGCAAAGTGGTTTATATCCTGTAATTAATCCTTAATATAACCATGACGTGTGTGTATATACAAGAATAAAATATATATACAATAAATATCTAGATAAATGTAAATGATATGTATATATATGTATATATATATATCCGTATATAAATATAAGTATACATATAAATATGTATCTGTATATGCATATATAAAGATGTATACAAATATATGTATATAGATAAATAAATAAATAAATATATATATATATGCATACTTGTATGTATATATATATAAATATAAGTACTTATATACAAATATTTTGATATACATATATATATATATACATATACACATATAAATATATACATATGTTTGTATGTGTATATATATACATATATATATGCATATACATATTATACATATTATACATATAAAAAAATAAATGTTTATATATGTATGTATGTATGTCTGTATGTATGTCTGTATGTATGTATGTATGTATGTAATGTAATGCATGAGATGTATGCAATGTATGTAATGTATGTAATGCATGTAATGTATGTAATGTATGTAATGTATGTAATGCATGTAATGCATGTAATGTATGTAATGTATGTAATGTATGTAATGTA